ATGACGAGGCCCTCCGGGCCTAAAATATAAAATTTATTTATTTATTTACATCTGAGGGAAGTTGGCGCCCCTTCAACTGTCGGATTTTCACAGTAAATTGCAGGTGCGTTGAAATCATCCGCAATAAGAACATCTAGTTGGCTAGCGGCTTCTTTTACAAGACGAGGGAGCGACCCGTCAGCTGCGCTCAGAATGCCTGATGGTTTTTTTACCGTCAGGATCTGTGAAATCACCTTCTTTTGCTCAATCCAGACGAATTCGAGGGTGTGCTCTCGTTGGACACCGGAGATTCTAGCATATGCGAAAACATCACCATCTTGTCTGTTTACTCAATAAAAGTGGGTCCCAAAGAGGAACTATACCAAAATGTACCTAAACGTTAAGTAAAAGACATGTCAAACAAAATTACCCTCGAAGCTTTGTGGCTGTTATCTCATCTTCATTCAAGATTGACTTGCGCGTTATATGCAAATATTCTAATATCATTTAATAAAACATGTATCTTCGTTGTATGTACTTTGCCTTGTCCTGCACTCTATTTGCTGCTTTTTTATCTGTAGGAAGTCTTATCCGCTTAGTCTGTCTAGAGTGCACACTTTTTTCTTTTGCCCAACGTCAATTTATTTTTTACATGTTCTATGTTTTCTAAATTTTCGTCGTATCTTCAGCCGATTTTAGCCACCGTAATTTTTCTTCTGTTCTTTATTCTTGAAAGAGCGCGTCTGTTATTTCACCGGCAAAGTGGATTACTTATTTTTTAGTAAATAATTGTATACGTTTTAAAGAAAATACCATATAGTCAGGGTTTTTAGCTTCGCGAGCAGAGAGTATGCTTGCAAGTTTGACTGTATTATCACTTTGTTTGAACACTCTGTTACCTACCCGTTTATTTTGGTGTCTCGCGTGGTTGCTCTTCGCCGCAGTTTACGATGTCGGATGCTGAAAATGGGACCCTTAATGAGACGGAGGCTTCCATCGTAGAGGAAAATCCTTTTGCGTCACTTAGTTATGAAGAAAAATTGCAGTTTGCATGCCCTATTGCGCAGCCTATGGCTTCGGAAAAGTTGACGAAGCGTCTTAGCAAATTAATGAAGAAAGCCAAGCGGAACAAGATGTTGTCATGTGGAGTCAAGGACGCTGTCAAGCAGATAATCAAAAAGAAAATACCTGGAATTCTTGTCATCGCCGGAGACGTCAGTCCTATTGACACTGTTTCACACATCCCTGTAATATGCGAGGAGAACAACATTCCCTATTGTTATGTCCCTTCGCGGTATGACTTGGGTGCAAATTTCTCCTCAACTGCTAGCTCCTTGTGTGTCTTCATCAAACCGAATGAGGAATACGAGGATCTTTTTAGTAAATGTCGGTCAGCTGTTGATGCGTTACCTTTGCCAATCCATTAAATTTTTGCATTTACCTATCTGCTGTCTTAATTCAGAAAA